ACTTAGTAACTGTGCGACCCTGGGTAAGTGATTTAAATAACGACTGTTGCCTCAGTTTCTTTATCTTTAAACTGAGGGTGATAATAGTACCTACTTTTCATTGTCATTAGGATCACATGGGATATGTACAAAGTGTTTTGTAAACCTGAATGCTACCTGCTACTACTATTAGTATTACTACTATTAATACTACTGCTACTACCGCCACCACCACTACTACTACCACTGATATTCCTAACCCCAGATCCAGTCCTCAGTCCATTAGGCCATCTACCTTATCCAAACTTGGACTTTAGGAATACTGTGCCACTATCTTGTCCTAACTCTGAGAACTACAGGAATATAAATTTCTGGTACTGTTTTCAAGGGGAGAGGAGATGGGAGGATAGGCACAGGAAATATTTCTCCTGGGGTGAAGGAGACTTAAGGATACTGCTTCCTCTGCCAAACTAATATTGCTCAGAGAAAAAGCTAAAGCAAACAAAGAGAAATTATTACACTAGTATACAGGAATAGATTTGTTTTTTTTTTCCTTCAGTCTTACTTTGACATTCTCTCTGCCCATTCTCCTTCCTGTGTTTTTATAATATCATGAAGGAGACGGATAAGTTAATGGTATATATAGTATGAAAGGAGGTTGTTCACAAAGTCTCAGAATCCTAAAACTAGGGGCATCCTGAAAACTTGAAAAGAATAAATGCAGAAAAAGTGTTTTAAAGTGCTAGTTTATACTGGTAGCAATAAAGTTAGGGAACTTGTTATTCCAAGAGGTAGTACTCACTATGTATATAACTTTGAATGAATCATTTCACCTTTCAAAACCTCAGTTTCCTCATCTATAAAGGGCTAGACTAGACTACCCTGTTATTCTGTTGTTCAAAAATATGGGGTTAAGTTTAAATAAATTCAGAGTTGATGGTTTCATATCTAAATCTTAGAAACTCTGGCTAAATTGTGAAGCAGCTATGGATAAAGAATCATTGTCTGAGTTGTTACCTTCATTACAAAATTTAATTCATTTAACACCTATTTTTCCTTGTCTCCCTCTTTTATTTTTTTATTTGCCCACATCCATTTTGTTTTCAGTTTGTCTGAAAGAGACTGGAGGTTTTATTGGACTTCAAATTAAATATGAGTCAACAATGTGATGTGAGCCACAACCACTAATACAAACTTAGACTATATTGAGAGAGGCTTAGTGTATAAAACCGAGGGAGGGTGATAATCCCACCATATTGTACTCTAGTCAGACCACGGCTGGGCTCTGTGTTTTAGGAAGGAGATATGCTGATATGCTGAAGAGCATCTAACATATGGGAACTGGAATGATGAAGGGCCTCAAATTAATGACATGAGGATCAGTTGAACAAAATGGACATGTTTAGCCTGGGCAAGAAGATTTAGGCAGTGTTTCACCCCTTAGTCAGTTTCCTTATGTGTAAACTTTACAGAGTTGTTGCAAGGAAAGCATTTTGTATACCTTAAAATATAATACTTATTATTGATAAGTACTATTATTAATAGTAATAAACCTTAGAAAACCCCCTTCCCCAGAAGAAGAGTATGGGGAATATGATAGCTATTTGCAAGTATTTGCTGGACTGTCATGTGAAAAAGGGATTTGACTTGTTCTGCTTTGCCCCAGAGGTCATGACTGAGAAGGATAAATAGAAATTACAGAGAGGCAAACTGGCTTAATGTAAGAAAAAAGCTTCCTAAAATTAACAGCTGTCCCAAAATAAAATTTGCCATCTCAGAGGGTAATAGGTCCACCTTACCAGAGGTCTTAAACCAAAATTAAATGACCACTCACTGGGTACAGGATGGTTCAGAATAGGTTGGACTCTATGACCCCCAAGGTCCCTTCCAGTGCTGAGATCCTGTAATTCTCTGCATGCCTCCTACATCCCAAACATTGTGCTAAGCATGAGTTTAGGATGGAAAGATAACACAATCCCCTCAAGGAACTGAGATGCTTCTGGGATACAGCATGTGTCAAGAAACAGCTGTGTTATGTCACGAAAAGAATTTTAGATTGAGAGTTAGGTCAAGAACATTGGTTCAGGGTGGGGCAGCTAGGTGGCACAGTGGATAGAGCACCAGCCCTGGAGTCAGGAGGACCTGAGTTCAAATCCAGCCTCAGACACATAACACTAGCTGTGTGACTCTGGGCAAGTCACTTAACCCCAATTGCTTCGCCCCTCCCCCCCCAAAAAAAGGACTTTGATTCAAATCTTAGCTCTGACACTTACCACCTGTGAGACCTTTGGCAAATTGTTTAACCTACTTGGGCTTCAGTTTCTTCATTTGTAAAATGAGGGGATTGGATAAAATTACCTCTAGGGTCCCTTTCAGCTCTAAATCTAGGAGCATATAATTCTGTAATCCTAAGTAAATACAAGATAATTTGATGAGTTAGAAAGCACTAATATAGGGTAAGGATAGAAATGAGTAAGACTTGTCAGCTGACTGGATATGGCATGTAAGGAACATGGAGGAGTCAAGTATGAATCAAAGGTTGGGATTAGGAAAACCTGGGTAACTGAAAGGATAACCAGGCCCCCAGCAGATACAGAAAAGTTTGGAGAGGGGGTGATTTGTCAAGGGGTGGAAGTGAGTAACAGATAATGATTCAGTTTCTGATACTGAGGGCCATCCAGGTGGAGATGTCCAGAAGGCAACTGGTAATGCAGGACAGGATTCAAGAGAGATTAGGGCTGGAAATGTAGATACAGGAGCCCTCTGAATAGGGATAATTAAATGGTGACCTGTTACCTCTAGGATTAAATGCAATCTTTTCTCTTTGGCACTTAAAGCCTTGCCCAAAATGGCTTCAGCCTGCCTTTCTTGGCTTATTAAATCCTGCTGTCCACAATCTGTGATCCAGACTGGCCTGCTCTTTCTTGTACATGGCATCCCATCTCCCACCTCCAGGTGGTGTTTGCACTGGCTGTTCTCTGTGCCTGGAATGCATTCCCCTGTCTCTTCGAATTCCTAGCTTACTTCAAATTTCAGGTGTCACCTCCATGAAACCTTTCCTGACCTTCCCTCCCCCCCCCACCAGCCACTAATGGCTCCCTACAAATTCTTTTATATTTACCTTGTTTTGTGTTTTGCATTAACTTATATGTTGTGTTCCCCCAATAGAATGTAAGGTCCTAGAAGTCAGGAACTGTTTGACATTTGTTTTTGTATCCCCATCGTCCAGCATAATACCTGGCTGATGTAGGGGTTTAATAAATGCTTCCTGATTCACTGCTTGAATAAGAATTAAATTGCTTAGAAATTAAAATCATTCAGTCTTGGCTCCAAGACACTGTTCCCTACCTCTTTGGAGAAGAGGGGATCATGGATGGATGTTGATCACCTCTTCTCAGGGTTGTTATGAGGGTTGAACTGAGTTCATTTATATGTGTAAAGTGTTTTACAAACATTATAGCTATGTAAATGCTAGCTGCTATTGTTATTATGACATCAGACTTTTTTCTTTATTATAAGATTACCATTTGAGAGGGGAGTAAGAGCATGTGGGGGAAATGGAGGAAACAAAAAGATATCGGTAAAAATGTATTTTAAAAAATTAACATGGCTTCTTTGGGAGGCAGTCATGCCAAATTAACTTGATTTCCTTTTTAAAATAAACATGCAACAAGCATTAAGCCCATATTATAAACTAGACACCAAGAATAGAAGACAAATAAAACAGCCTGTACCTTCAAACTAACCTGGAGTTTACTAGGGTGGGAGGCGGGAAGGAAGCCACAGGTACACAGCTGAGGAATTACAAAATATATACAAAGTGATTTGGTAGAGGCAACATTGTCTTCTGGGAGAGTTGGCACTTGAGCTGAGCTTTGTATGAAGTTAAGCATTCTAAGAGGCAGAGGTGAAATGTCAGTAGGGAAAGCCAGTTTTGCTGGAACCTAAGACATTTGAAGGAAAGTCATGTGAAATGAAGTCTGGAAAAATAAGTTTAGAGTAAGATTGTGAAGGGTTTTAAATACCAAAGGAGTGTTTGTGTTTGATCCTGGAGGCTATAGGGAATCAATGAGGCTTCTCAAGCTGGGGAGTGACATGATCGGACTTGTACTTCAGGAATATCCCTTTGATAGCCATGTGGAGGATGATTTTAGGAAAGGGGAAAGATTGGAAATAGGATAGGTCTGAGTGAGAGGTGATGGGGGGACCCTGAACTAGTGTGGCAGTTCTGTGAGTGGAGGGAACGAGTGCAGGTAAAACATTTTATAGAGATTGAGTCCCCAAAATTTGTAAACTGATTGGATATGGGTGGTGAAAGGGACTAAAGGGATGTGAGGTTGACTTGGAAGCTATAAACCTGAGTGACACTAAGGATGATAGCACCCTTACCAGACATAGGAAAGCCACAATGGGGAGCAGATTTGAGGGGAAAGATGAGTTCTGTGGATTTTGAGATGCCTGCAGGACATCCAGCAAAACTTGATAAAATGGGGTTGGTATTTAGGAAGGCATATTGGATATATAGATCTGTAGTCATCTGCATAAGAATTGATAAGTTCACTAAGAGAGTATATATAGAAAGAGAAGAAAGGAGGCCAGGAGGGTTCCTGAAATGTGCTAAGGGCTTAATAAATGTTTGTTGATTTCTTGATTGGAACCTGTGGTTGGCGTGTGGTTGATAATCCAGCAAAGGAGACTGAGGGGCAGCAGAGAAACCAGACAAGAACCGGAAGAGGACTTTTAAGATAGTTACTATACTATTTATTTCTTCCTTTTTGGCTAATACACAGTTGATCTACCAAACCTTATGAAAATAATTATACCTACAGAAAAGGGTACAAGTAAGAATCTTTGAAGAATACCAAAGGACTTATTTTCAAATGACAAATGTCTTGAACTTATTAATTTTGTGATTTGAACATAGCTCTCAGGAGGGCTTCAACTTAGTATGTTACTTTAGCAAATTTTGTTATTAAGTCCTATGCTGAATTTACAGTTTGAGTCATTTCTCATCCTTTTAGCTTGTCAAAATTCCCAAAAATGATCCTCCAAATGAAGTGCATAATTTTAACTTCTACTTGTCAAATGTTGGCAAAGATAACCCTCAGGGAAGCTTTGACTGCATCCAGCAAACTGTCTCAAGGTAAGTACATTTTAAGTCATGATAAGAGAAAAATATTTGTATTTATGTCTGAGACTTTTGTTAAACTGTAGAATGGTGGTTAGGATATTTTAATGCTAAGTCAGACTTTAAAAAATTAGCATTTTATAGATATGTATGTGTATGTATATATATAGTTAATATATAAGTATACATGTGTGGAGTATACCTTCTTTCAAAGCAAACAAATTGGCTGCTTATTTAATATTTCTTAACATTTATACCTTTTCCTTATCAATAAAATAGCTTTAGTGCTTCCTAAAGCTAGATTGGCTTGGCCACTCCTCAGTACATAGCCTCTGGCATTTGCTCAACTGTTCAGTCATAGCCCTGATATTCAGGGTATTTAGTAAACATTCTGAAAGTTTTACTTTTTGTGGGGAGAAAAACAGCATTAGGGATTGAAGATCAATGTAAAGAAATAATAATTTTACTTTAAACCATGAGAAGGAAGAAAGGTAAAAAGCAGGCATTTATTAAGCCCTTATATGTACTAAACTCTAGGGATACAGATACAAGCCAAAAAGAAAGATGACACCTACACCCATAGAACTTACATTCTTATAGGGGAAGATAACACACAAAAGGGAGGTGGAAAAGAGCAGAGGGGAGGGAATAGTGGAGATAAAGGGACCCAGAGCAGGGACATAGTTGTGAAGACCAGAGGAAGTAAAGAACAGGGCCAGGAGCAGAATGAAGGCTGGCTCTTCCACAAAATGGAGGTTCCAAAAGGAACTCACCAGTGGGAGAAGGTGGGGATGGGCCTTGCTGAGTGGCATTCCCTGATTACTGGGTATTCAGAACCAAAGGTACTTTTTAATTAGTAATCCAGAACAATATCCTCATTTTTTTCAGATGAGGAAACTGAAACCTATAAACTTTGATTGACTTGTTCAAGGTCACACAATTAATTAGCAGAAAATATCAGTGATCCAGAATCCACATTTCCTGGTTCCCAGTCCAAAAAACCATACTCCTACATTCTGTCAGCTAATTTAACTGATTTCTTATAGAAAATTGTTTTTGTTTTTGTTTCATTAAAGGGCTCAACACCATCTTATAAGTAGTGATATTATGCGATTAATTGCCCTATCAGTTTCCACTTTTGAAACCTTGGAAGGCTATCTAACAGTGTTAGCTATATCATTACTGTCATCATTGTTATTGCTCTTAGTGTTCCTCACTGTGGTTAGAGCACATATTCATACTTAGTAAGATGGTCAGTGTGAAGTTAGCAGAAATTATATCTCTGTCTTTCATCAGACCCCTATAATTTGGCCCATCTTACCTAATCAACCTAAACGTCTAATGTGTCCATCAGTGGGAACTCTGTAACATTTATGAGCATGTTATCTATTCTGTGGTTTACATATGATGATGTACTAGGATTTTTATGATGATTTCTGATCTTTTTGTGTCTATAAAATTTATCTCATGAACAAAATTGTAAACTTGAAGGAGAGAGACTGTGCCTTACATTTACTGTGTCTCTCATAACCTGGCCTCAGTAAATACCAGTTGACTGGATTCCTTTATTAACTTCCCTGACTGCCTCTTCTTTCTTTTCAAGTTCCTCTTTGTAGGGTGGTCATTCCATGGCCTTAAACCAGAAGAAGCTATTTGAAGTTTTATTTTGTGTTTAAAGAAACCACAAAGAAAAATGCAATTCTGGATTGTAATTAATGTACTTTGAAAGACCTAGAGTGATATTACTGGGAAGACATTAGGGAAGTGCTGTCTCTAAGCAATCGATGATTAAGAAAAATGTTTCATTTTGTTTTTTTAAGAGCAATGATTGTTTGTCATTTATTTATTGTGGTCTTTCACTAATGCTAAATCTGGCTCTTATCTGTCATCTGCATATGCTACCTTAACTTTCCAGTTGACATTTTTTCCCTTTGCAGCTGACATTTTATTATGTAAGTATGTGACATTATTAGGCTAATCATTAATAGAAATTAGCCAATAGGTATACTTTGGCCATTTCCTGTAACAAATTAGTACTGGGAAAGGAACTTCAAGACCCTACTATTTCTTGTATTTAAAAGTGTTTTGCCTTTCTTTGACCAATCACTGAAATGTGTTAGAATAGCTATAGCTATCCTAGTGTCCTCTATTAAGCTCTAATGTTTTTACCATTGATCCCAGTAATTATGAACTTTCGGCCTTTGGCTTAATATATCAACTAACTAAATTAAGCAATATGAAGACTAGTCACATCCTTTTACCAGAAATTCCAACGGACTGGTTAAAGTTTTTTGTATTAAATTTTGCTTGAAATAACTAGTCTATCCGCTGGGATTTGGAAGTGTTATTTGTTTTTTATATAGGGATTCTTTGTTTCCCTTAGTATCCCATGCCTGGAATGTTGTTCCTCCTCACTTCAGCCTCTAGGCTTCTCTGGCTTTTTGTCTAGACTCAGCTCAAATCCTAACTTCTGTAGGCTAACTTTCTTCTTCCCCTAGCTGCTAGTGCCTTCACTCTGCGATTACCTTCCATTTACAACATATTTGTCTTGTAGGTACATAGTTAAGGACCTATCTCCTGCATTAGAATGTGAACTCCTTGAGAGGGAGTGTTTTTGCATTTTTTTGTATCCCCAGCACTTGGCTTACTGCCTGGCTTGCAGTAAGTACTTAATAAATACTTGTTGATTGGCTGAGACTGATTGTTAATGATCAATATTGTCTAATAATAATAATAATAATAATAACAATGATAGCTAACATTTATGTAGTTTATGCTATCAGACACTATGATAATTGCTTTACAAATATTATCTCATTGGATCCTCACAAGAACCCTGGGAGGTAGGTGCTATTATTATCCCCCTTTTAAAGATAAAAAAACTGAGGCAAAGAGAAATTCAATGACTTACCACAAAATATCAACACCTTATATCCTTTTTAAAATAGTATTTTATTTTTCCCAATTACATATAAAAACAACTTTTAGCGTTCTTTTTTTTTTTAAGTCTTGAGTTCCAAATTCTTATCCCTCCCTTCCCCCCTGAGACAGTAAGCAATCTGGGTTATACATGTGCATTCATGTAAAACATATTTCCATATTAGTAATTTTGTGGAAGAAAACTTCAACCAAAAAAAGAAAGTGAAAAATAGTATTCTTTGGCCTGTATTCAGTACTTTCTCTGGAGGCCGATAACATTTTTCATCATGAGTCCTTTAGGATTGTCTTGGATCATTGTATTGTTTAGAATGGCCAAGTCATTCACAGTTCTTCATTGTACAATATTGCTGTTACTGTGCACGGTATTCTCCTGAGCACCATATAGTCTTTAAAATCCTCTACCCCTTATTCTTACTAGAACTGCCCAAGGTCACGCAGTTAGTGTCTGAGGACGTATTTGAACTCAAGACTTCGTGACTCCAAGCCCATCATTCTATCTACTACACCACCAAACTGTCAAACAAAATTTGACCCATAGAAATACTGCTTTAGAGAAAAATGTTCACCTGAAATACCTCTCTCCCATTGTTACTCCATCTTATGTTAGAGTTGAGCACAAATTGAACTGATGAAAAACACAAATCTCACTTGCCTTATTTCTAGCCCTGTGTGATATAATTACCTAATAAATGATACTAACACATTTGAGAAGTACAAATTTTAGCACTTGTGAGGCAGTTCTTAAAACAACTTCAAAAGTCAAATTTTAAACCTATAAAACTGATTTTTTTAAAAAAAAATCAACCCATAGTTATATTTTCCCTTGAATTTAATAAATGCATCTGATGACAACAGAAGTTGCTTAAAGAAAGTTAAAGAACCTGAAGCTAAGTTAAAAATTTTTGGAATAAAGTTGCTTTTTCCAAAAAATGTTAAATTGCTGCCACTTATTCATTCCCTACAAGTGAGTTTTAAATGGAAAGGCAAATGTAAATTCTAAGGTGCTTGAGGATCCTAGGGTAATAAAGCAGGCTTTAGTGCTTGCTAGAATTTTGTCACCAACTAGAACACTATTTGCAAATTAAAATTTAAGCTACATCTCACTACTCAACTCAGTGCTAAAGATTTGTTCTGTAAAGAGAAAGTTTAGAAGTCACTTTTAAACACAAACTGCATTTCAAGTCTAGTAAGAATCAGGAGTAGAAGATTCTTAAGAACATGTGGCACTCATATGTTGCCATAGACCTAGGGTAAAACCTATATGGCTCTACCCATTCTATTAGGGTAGAATAAAAAAATAGAATAAAAGAAGAAAATGTTGGAAATTAGAGGAAGATACAAGAATAATCTTTAAAATCTAGCTTGCCTCTACTGACCAAAAAATGAGTTTAAAATGGTCATCTCTTACAAAGCTACTTTGTTATTCTGCAGTTCTGGTGCCTCACAGCTCAATTGCCTGGGATTTATACAAGATAAAATTACAGTATGTGCAACAAATGACTCCTATCAAATGACAAGAGAACGAATGACCCAGGCAGAAGAGGAATCCCGTAACCGAAGTACAAAGGTTATAAAACCTGGTGGACCATTTGTAGGTGTGTATGTGTTTCCTTTTTTTTTTTTCTTTTTTTATACCCTTCTCATAAAGAGCAATTGAAGTAGCTTAGGTTGCCATGTATAAATTCCACTTCCATTATTAACTTATTAAATCAAAGAAGTTGGTTGTCAGGGAAAAAGAGTGTGCAAATATAAAATAGTTTTATGTTATCTTGTGAAAATGATTCCATAAGAATACCATATTGTTAAAAAAAAAATTTTTTTTTACTTAATTGTTGAAAGTGATTTTTTTCTTCAATTCACTTCCCAAACTGTTCCTTAATGGAGCTAGTCTGTACTGCTTTGAAAAATATCTCCTGAGATCTGAGAAAGTGACATAGGAGGTTGTAATTGTTGTGCTCTTCCTTGCCACCAGAAAATATAATTTGTGTGTGTGTGTGTGTGTTTAATTTATTTATTTTTAGTTTTTAACATTCACTTCCATAAGGTTTTGAGTTTTATATTTTCTCCCCTTCTCTCTCCTCCTCCTTCCCCAAGATGGGATACAATCTGATATAGGCTGTACATGTACATTCCTATTAAACATATTTTCACAATGGTCATGTTGTAAAGAAGAATTAGAACCAATAGGAAGAACCACAAGAAAGAAGAAACAAAACAAAACAGAAGGGAAAAAAAGAGCAAATAGTATGCTTTAATCTGCATTCAGACTCCATAGTTCTTTCTCTGGATGTGGATAGCAACAGAAAATATAATTTTGATAATAAAAAATGTTGGATGGTTCATGTTTTACAGTTTGATAATTATTTTTAAAATAAGAAATTCTCGATTAGCAGATTGGGTTTTTTTGGTTTGTTTTTTTTTTGTTTAGTGACCCCCATTGCAGACTTTTCTTTGGATTTTCAGTGGACACTGAGAAAGGAATTTTTATCTTTAGAGATAAAAAATAAAAAATTTAGAGAGGTACCTATTACAAAGCCTCAGGGTACCAGCACTAAAGGAATGAAATGTCATCTAGTATTCTGTTGCTTTTTCCATCTGTCCGGCAGTAGAATGGCTAAAAATTCAGGCTTTACCAATTCCACTCAACATAACCACCAGGACAAGGGACAATAAGAAACGGTGATTGTTGGCTGTGTCCCTTATTTTGTCTTGATATATGGAGAAAGGAGTAGGTGTTTATCAGACCTAATTTGGTATATTAGTTTTTATGTCTGTTAATACTATCAGGAATTAGATGAACCCTTTGTCAGTTTTAAATAGCACCAGCATACTTTTTTTAAAGTGAAGTATTATTAATTTCAGAACTTCAATTCTAGCAGTGACAGCCTCTCTGAGGACCAAGCGCCTTAATCTTTATCTTTCTATGGCTGAGTATAATTCTGCTTCTGTGTTTTTTCCTTCTATGTGTGAGCCAGCTACAATGCAATCAGTGTTTAGAAACTACACTTCTGTCATTAACAGGCACTTTTTTGGAACATGGCCAATGCTCCTGGGAACTAGTGCTTAGCTTAGATACACTTAGTTTGGTTTAACAACAATTCTTAACTTCCCCAGGTGTCTGTACACACAGGACCAAGTTCTCTCTTCAGTAGGGAGCCACCAAAGAGCATTTTTTTCCTATTCTAATGAGTGAAATAACAATCTTTTATCACCTTTCTTACTCCTTTATCCTCAAAATTTTCTTAATTAAATTTATGTACCAATTGTCTAGTCTTGCTGTATTATTTTTAAGACTCACAGTATAGTATTTGCTTCATTTTAAGTTATTGTCCATCCCCTTTTAACTTGACGGAGAAAGATTATCTAGAAGTATTAGAGACAGACATTGTAGATCACTTCTTTATTCAGCATATCCTAAAAGTTTAATCATTCAAGTGAAAAATATTTGCATTTTGTAAGGAGATGAAGAGGTGTTAGATCTCTGGGACAGGAATGGGGGCAGGGAGTGGGGGACAGAGAGGGTAGAAGTAGAATAGAAATCAAGTTGAGAATTTCTGCCTCTGGCAGAGCCAGTTAAAAATGCTTTGAAAATGTTTTAATTTATTATGAAACAGAGAAATCAATTGGAGCTGGAGGGGCAGGGATGGGTGGGTAGAGACAGATTGAAGGAATATCATTGCTCATCAGAGATAGTTTTCTGATGAAACCCTTTGACTTCACATCAGAATAGTTTGGAGGTTTTAAATAGACTTCAGATGCTGAAGACTTTGTTTGTCTAACAAACCCTTGTTTTTAGCATGCACAGGGTTTGAAACACCTAGGTTCCTACAAACCACACAGTGTATGTTCGATACTATGTAATGGTACTAAAAAGTAACCAAGTTATTTCAGCCTTTAAGGAAAAAAAAAAGGACATTGTAGCTTGGCGTCACTGGTGGCTGAGTGCCATCCTTCCAGGAGATAACTTAAGGACTCGAGAGATTGAAGTATTCAGTCTCCCGGTTTTTAGGGAAGATCAGAGAGCAGCGTGTCTGCCATGTTCAGTGTACTATTTTTAGTTCGGACTGCAGCCAACCATTCCATATACAGAGTTGTGTCTACCTAACTATTAACAATTTCCCTTGGTGACATTTCCTAGGACCTCAGTTTGGATCATTCTTCTATTAGCACTAGGAATTTATGACATCTTCATGACATCTCTCAGATAAGCCCCCCTCTCTCCTCTGACCTTGTCACCATTTCGCACCAAACTGTTAGAGAGCCTGCTTGTTAGTCTCCCTGCCCTAAACCTCTCCCCACCTCAGGCCATCCTCTACCTAGCTGTCATGTGGATCTTCTTAAAGCTCAGGATCTGACCTCAGCACCACCATGTTCAGTAAACTTTGGCGGCTCCCTATCACTGCTAGCATCGAAGAGAAAAGGCCCTGTTTGGCATTCAAAGCAGACTGCCTCCTAGCTGTCAAGTTTTCTTACACTTTTCTCCTCACTTCCCCTCCATACTGTGCAATCAAATAACACCGGCGTCTTTGCTGTTCCTCAAACAAGACACTCCATCTCTGGGCTTTTTTTATAGACTGTCCCCCATGCATGAAATATTCTTTCCTCCTCTTCAAGTCCCAGCTAAAATCTCACCTCCTTCAAGAAGTCTTTCCTGATGCCCTTTGATGCTAGTACCTTCCCTGTCTTGATTATCTTCAGTTTATCCTGTATATGTCTTGTTTATTCATTGTTTTCCTGTTGTCTTCCCCATTAGACTATGAGCTTCTTGAGAGCCCATCTGACTTTTGTCTTTCTTGGTATCCCCAGTGTTTAGCACAGTGCCTAGCTCATAAGAGGTGCTCAATAAATGCTTGTAGACTGATTAACTTCTCAAACTTTTCCCTCATCCTCATTGAGCCAACTACTTACAATCACCCATACAATATTCTTTCATGTTCTTAAATGCTGTTGTTACAGCTTTCCTCAGCTTCTCCTGTCCAGGCTAAATGACCCCAAGTCCTTTTAACCTTTCTTTGTATGGCTTGTATGCCAGCCCTCTAATCATTTTCATTGCTTTCTTCTGAATCCTCCAATTCTTCTCATCTCTGAGTTCAAAACTGTACAGACTGCTTTAGTAAAGGTCTGATCTTTATTATAATGGTTTTTTAAGAGGTCCATATTGCTATCTCATTTATATTCAATCCTTATGGCATTGCATCTCTTTCAGTCATTTTCTCTCTAACTGTCTGTTTGCAACTTCCCATTTTCAGCCAATTTGTCGAGGTTATTTCAGATTCTTTTTTCTTCTTAAATGCTAGCTAACCATCCAGATTTTGTCTTTAGCAAATAGTCCTTGAAACAGTTGCGCAGTCTTCATAAAACAGAATGCCCCTTAACTGTTATGCCATGGAAAGCCAAGTTCAAAGTCGATACAATGATGCCTCAAAAACCAAAGATTATTTTTCACAAAAGTCCCTCAGGAAATGAATTAGAGAAAGTTCTAATCTCAGGTGAAAGCATCCTAGGAGTTCAGTCTCCAGTAGAGGACTCTAGAAAGTGCACCAAGGCTTCTAGGACAGTGGTACCTGAGAGCATGGGAAACACTTGTGCATTGTGGTCTTCTGTACTGCACTGCCATATTCCCAAATAGAGGCTCATTCCCCAGAGGCAAGAGTGACCTATCTAGATTGAGAGGCCTGGGAATCCACAGCTTGAATGGGAAAGAAAGATAGATATTAGAAGGGAATCCATATTCTTATTCCTTCTATAATATTTCTACTTTTAGTAACAAATTTCCCATAACAAGTACATCTTTGTTATACTCGTTAAGAGAATATTGGTCACAGCTCCTTTCAAATTTCTTATTCCTTTAAAAGGAAACTAAACTGTTTGATGATTTTTTACCCTATCCATGTGATCTGATTAATGTTTATAAGCATATTTTCATATATAGTCATGTTTTCTAAGTTTGCATGTTATTGGCTGTTAATTTTTCTAGATAAGTAAATGTGACCAATATAATTTCCAAGACTATACCTTCCCATTTTCCCTCTTTTAAAAAAAAAAAGTCAGTGATATTTGTTTATATACGTGCATGTATTTGTTTGTTTATATGTTTTGTTGCCTTTCAAGAAATTAACATCATATTTAGTTGTACTGAATAACCTAAATGCATATATGCTCATTGAGCTGTATAGTGTTAGAGTTTACAACATCTCCATACTACTCCTAGTCATTGTTTTTAAAGTCCAGGATTGGTTCTGTATTGCCAAAACCATTGTCTTTTTTCCCCCCCTCCCTCTGCCAGGCCAGAAAAACAATTTCAAAAAGCCAGTTGGCAATATCTACTCTCTTTCTGGTACGTGGTATTTTGTCTGTGTTTCAGCTTGCTTATTTGATAGTTGTTAGACATGGGGAAGGAATCTCTTACTTTCCATCTCATATTGAGTGGAAGGTCAGTAAGCTCTTAGTATTAGGTATCCGTCTTAATATAGTGAAATATAGATTCAGATGAGCAGTCCCCAGGTCACACAACACAGATCCACTGCCACAGTTATATAAAGACCTCTAGGGATTGATTAGAAGTTAGATCTGGAAAGAGAATTAGGTTCTCCCACAGGTTTCATTAAAGGGACTTTTCTGAGGTTAAAAAAAAAAGTTGTTTTCCCCACCCCACTTCCTACCCCTTAATATTCCCTGCTTTATTTTTTGGCCTGTTATATAAATTACTAATGTTTTCTTTCTTCCACATTTTTTTCCTTGAATTGAATAGGAACCAAAGAGTGGGCAGAAGGATGTACAGGGAAGGGGAGGATGCTGACTGCCATTCAGGGGAGAAAGTATTGGCACTTTTTGTGCTTGTTAATATTTCTCTTCCTTTTGACCATGAAGCTATACCTGTTTACTTTGGTAGGATGGGCTTAGCAAAGATTAAAAGTGGAAAGATTTGCTCGTCATTGTTAGAAATTTATTGTTTGTTTCCAAACACTCCAATGATCTCTAAAATTGGGTGGGAAAGTAAAAAAGATTTTTTAAAACTATAATTCTTCCCCACGTCATCCTTTAGTCCATCCTCTACATTTTTTGCGTGCTGCCCGAAATCCTTTGGTGGGCTGCAGGTTGCACAGGTCTGCTTTAGTCTTTAGACCTTACCACCTTTCTGTTGAGGATTTTTGTCATGCACTTTGAGGAATATTTTTTGCCATTAATCATATCCAGATGCTAAAATGAAAAGTAATTATGGTAGAAAGAGATTCCTTGAGATGATTCAAGCTTAACTTTGGTCAAGAGAATAAAAAATAGGCCATCTCTCCATGCCAACTCTCTCTTCTCCTTACCCTTCATGCTCTAACCTCAGTTATAAAGAAGCTGCTGACAAGATCATTTAGAGCTTTCAGTGAAGATCCCAGCATTTATTTTTCCTTCTGAAATATTTGAAGCCAGTTAGTCTTATTTGTAACTCAGTGGTCCAGTATGTTGGGCTGTCATTTTAATAATCTAAACAACTAGTTAACTAAGGAGCCTGTATAGGCATGGCTACTCTCCGGGACCCAGCAAGGTTTGAGGGAGGGGAATCAAAACTGAATGAGTCCCAGATACACAGAAATCACAGAGGCTTTTTCCCCATAAAACTTTTGCTCAATAAATTGTGTACTTAGTACAAAATGCCCATTTCAACCAAGATGTCTCTATTTGGAAGAGATACTTGAATAATCATAAATAAAGAAGAGTTTAGTGAGATTTAGATTCTTATATGGATATGATCTGCATATAGTGGGAAAGGCCTCCTTTTTCTCTCTGCAGAGGCCTAAACTATTTACCATCCTTCCCTGCTGAGGGATAGAGATCTGCTTATTTGGCCATTTCTGAAATTTTTGTTAGGGTTTTCAAAATTTACCATTTACCATTGATAAGAGTATATGATTAGTAGGTACTAGCCCTACAGTTTGTGCCTTCACTGAAAAGGTAATTTAACATATATGTAGCTGTCATTTAGCTTGCCCATTCTCAGTATAGGCTATAACAATTTTTAGTAATCTTACTATGTGATTTTTCTAGATTTCTGTACAGCACAGAGAAAGACAAATTGAACATTACAGAAGTTGATATTTTCATATAAGTCCTTTTTGTTCTGTGTAGGCATATTCATCTTTGTTGATAATTGTTAAGTTCATTTTTTAAAAAAGGAAAATTATTGAACTGGGAGTAAGGAGTTTTGGTTATAACCCTGGCTCTAGTCCGTTGTGACTTTGGGCAAATCACTTTAGTTCTCTGGACCTCAGGAACTGGACTAATTGTATCTCGTTAGAGTTAATCTAATGAATGAGTCTAGTTGAACCTGACTGGCAGAAATTCTTAAAACTTACTTTGAATTATTGTTTACCTCGGTAATATGTGTGTCGTCCTCAAAACTCAAAAATAAACAAGTAACATGATAGCTACCTCAGAATATGGACCGATGCTTGTCATAGCCTGTAGACACTGACTATTGTCTTTTCCACTGGACCTAGGTAAAAGAGTGCAAATTCGGAAAGCACCTCAAGTTGTTCCAGATGCAGTGCCCGAGAGGAAAAGGTCAACTCCTATTAACCCTGCAAATACAATACGAAAGATCCATTTAAACAACAGTGTTTTTCAGCGGCCCTATAGAGACAGGGTGATTCACCTCCTGGCACTGAAAACATACAAGAAACCGGAGCTACTTGCTCGATTACAGAAAGATGGCGTTAATCAAAAAGACAAGAACTCCCTTGGAGCCATCCTTCAACAGGTGAGACCAGTTTAATACATGGACATTCCTTTATCTTCTAGAGAAAGATCTGTCACCTTCAATTAAGGTAGCTCATTCCTCTTTAAAACAGAGAACTGTCAGACTCAGTTTAATAAAGGAACAGTTTAGAAAATATAACTCACTTATGCAAATTTGAACTACCTCAGGGTAGCCATTTAATTCATAAATGAAATAGAAAACTAGAAGTTATTATCTGGACAGTCTTGACCAAAAGAATATGCAGGCCTCACATTTCAGTGACTACTGGAAAGGCATACCTTGTTGAACCAGGAGTCAGGGCATTTGTACTGTAATTTTAAGTTGCATGGTCTTTAGCAATTCATTTAACCTGTGACCTCTATCTACCCCACCAATGACTGAATGCTTGGAAGATCTGAATTTGAATCCCAGCCCTGCCATTTATTACCAAAGTAATCTAGGGCAAGTCACTTACTCTCATTGGGCTACAGTTTCCTTATCTGTAGAATGGGAGTGGTAAACCTAAATGGCCTCTAAAACCCCTTCTATCTTTAAATTATGATCTAGAAAATGTAAGCAAGAAAGAATATTTTGTGCTTTTTAATCAAGTTACTTGAATATTGTCCCAGTTTTCATTGAGTAGACACTAAATAGGGTTTGACAATTGTCCTTTTATCTCATTTGTTGTGTATAATTTTGGCTAAAATATTTTTTAAAATATGGATCAATTTAGAATATGGGTTATACTGATGATTCTTTATTGCTTTTCTTATTGCTCTTTTTATTAACTACATGTGCTAGGCTTCATTTTTCTGCAACCAAAACTTATATTTAGGTTATGAATTTGAGAATAACTTGAAGTGACCATTAGTGGTTCTTATAACATCATAATTATAGGTTTGAGTCTAGTATTAGAATGTTAATTCTTAAGTTGACAGGATTAGCCTCTTAATTTATGAAGCTGTTCAAGTTTGAATAGCATTCAGACCTTTGATTATGGTTATGGGTGTGGGACTTGTTATTCTTTGTTTTTTCTAAAAATAATTTCACTTTAAGGAGTAGCTATTAAGTTTCACTAAAAATTTTAACAGGTTTCAATCTATTACTCTGAAGACTAAAAGCTTTTTATTCCCTCTTTGAATGTCTAATATGTTCATGGCATTATCTACTAAATGATATGAAGAATTAAAGAAGAGATACTGAACCCTCAATTTGTCCCATCCTAGCACATATATAATCATATCTTGAGGTATTGGGTGATTTGAGTATTTTTGAAAACAATCCAAGAAACAAAATCAGTTTAAGTTCATATGACAGAAAGCTCTTTGGGGGAAAGGTGTGTACTACAGGGAGGTTACAAATCAAACAAACAAAATTATTGCATTGGAGTACAGAGGTGACACTAATAGGAGTGACAAAATGGATAAGCATAGTGTTTTTAAGCCTCAAGTACGGTACATGTGCACATTTCTATACAAAGATGTCTTAAAACTGTGGGCATGCATTGATGAGTGGAGCGTTTGAGGGAGTTGTTTGAGGATTCCTAATATATAGGGACCCCATACTATGTGATTCTTGTGATTTCTGATTCTTGACTTCTGAATCACTAGAAACCATAAGGTGTAATAACAGTAGGAGAGCCTACGCAAAGCAGGGATAGAAGAAATTCATAGGAAATTAATTTCCTTTAAATTAGCTATGTAAGCCTCCCGTCCTTTCTCCCTGCCCCCAACACAGAGCATTATTGATTTCATCTTAGTACCTTTCTTAAGTAGAAGTTCCTTGAGGGCAGAGCCTGATTCAATTTTGTCTTTTTGTCCCCAGTGCCTTATGTTGAATAGGCACTTAAATACTTTGTGTATCAAATTATACCTAATTGAATTAAATCTAGTATCTCTGCAGCTCATAAATATATTGGTAAAAATTTCACTGCCTTTCCTTTCTCTCTGATGTCCTTGGAAATGGATAGTAAGCTTGCCCCAAAGGACGAAGGATGGAAAGAGAAAGATCAAGGGATTGTCCACCAACTGGTTAATCATCCCCTGAGTAATAAAGTTGAGAAGCTGCCTAAACTAATCCTGTTCCTCCTCTGCCAATAGGGATGTTTGCTGATTTGTTGCTCAACCTGATTGTTACAAGTCATCCTTTGAAAGTTGTTGTTAATTCAGTGAGTTGATTGAGTGAGCTCCTCAAACTAAACTCTAGCTGAGATGATTATGCCTCAATTTAAAATTAGCTAAATATTTTTGGAAACTTTGTTAACTTGTTCCTTATTCAAATAACATGTATGACTTTGTTCTTAATTTTACCTTATAACTCTATAGAGTTTCCTGGCACAGGAAAAATCAGCTCAAATGTTAAGGCCAGACTTGTGCTTAGAAAGGAAGGAACTGAAGCAGCTATCTTATAATTCAACCTCAAAGCAACCTTCAATAGGCAGATAATCAAAGCAAAAAAATCACTGGGTTTTCCTACTCAAATTATCTGGGCATTCAGGTTAGCTTTCTATTTTGCTTTACTAGAATAAACTTAGATTTAACCTTTTTTTTTTAAACCTGGACTTGTGATTTTGTTAATGTGGAAACTCCTTCTACCAATGCATATAGCAGTTCTTCTGTAACTTACACTCTTAAAAAGTTGCCCAGGGTAACGAAAAGTTAAATGATTTGTCAGCATTTACACAGCCTAGGGTGTTTGAAAGGCAGAACTTGAATCCAGGTCCTCCTGACTCCAAGATCCACCTCTCCACAGCGTCTTTATGATTTAATGTTAAAATAACTGGTCTCATTTTCAAAAGAAAACATCAAAAATTATGATATTCTTCAAATAAAGGTTTAAAAGCATCTAAACATAAAAAATAAATAAAAGATAACATTTTGACATACTTTTAGGACAATATCTTCTTTTCCTCTAAGTGAAAATAAAATTTCTGCTATTAATAACCTGAGGTTTGTTGACCATTCAATAGAGTCATGACACTCTTGCTTGTAAATCATATTACAGCTTTCGTCATGGCCTGAATGATTTTGGTGCTGAATCACCCTGTGCCTGTCACAGCTAGTGGTCAGGGTAGCCAGAGATGTAGCTACAGATGATTCAGGACAGTAGTCATAAATTTCATAAAGGATAGTGGGAATCCTAAGGATTTCCTAATGGAAAACAGGCATTGCACTATATAAATCTGGTGACCTTACATAAAAATATTGCAGATATAATTTAATGTTAATATTATCATTCACTTATAATTTTTCTACCACAAAATTAATAGTTCATATTCATTTTCATATCATAGATACAAATGGCATGATGAGGTCATATGTTGGACTTGGAGTTGGGATGACCCATGTTCAGAAAATTCCTCTGACAATAGCTATGTGATCCTGAACAAGTCTGTGAACCTCTGTGTACTTCAGTCACCTCTCTAAGTCTAATATGCCAAGTCATAGATGGGTTGCAATTTGCTTGGTGGAGGGAGTTCCTGCACCAGGACTTCTTCCCCTTATTACCAATAACAGGTCCTTCAGGTATTCATTTCTTGTCATCAGTGTACAAACTGTATAAATTTCAGCTGAGTTGCAATGAGAGAACTGTTTAGTTAAGTATATTTGATAGGTGATTTGAAAATCACAAAAGGAAATCACAATTCCCTCCCCCCCAAAAAGTAGAGATTCCAATGTAGAATGTCAGTAAACTATACCTTTCATCTAACCTGGAGGAGGGAGGATAACTTCTGGAAACCATGAATTTGTGTAGTTAATGGAATCAATGGATTGGTGAAAATAAGCAGATAGAGGTAAAAAAATAAATTGATAAACTTATTTGCATGTAACTTTTACCTGTTCATTGTCATATTATACCTATAGTGCTCCTGGGATGATTCTATTAGCTACTAGAAAGTAGGAGGTAGTTCAAATCTATTTAAATATCTGTGGAGGCTTGAGTAATATATAGCAAACATGTTTTCAGGCTTGGTAAAACATAAACATTAACAGTGTAATCGCAGTGATTCTTCTAAGGTGAGGTTATTTCTGGACTGTGGCCAAAGGAATATTTCTTAATGTGAAAGTTTAATGACTTTTAATTTAATTCAAGTGTACAGTTGTTTTGTCTCCTTTTAAGGTATGTGTGTGAGAGGAACATAGGTAATTTGAGAATTAACTCTGTTTGGAGAGTAATACTACTATAACTAGACATGTATAGATATTGATAAACATAACTGCTCCCATATCCCAGAAATGCTTTTTCTCCTCGTCTGTCCTAATGATATTTTCCTACGTATCTTTGCATATCAGAATAATGTAAGTGAAAAAGCCTTTCAGAAAGAAAACATTTAGATGCCCAAAAAAGAAAAAAAAAAAAGAGTTTCTAAAATAAAATGAAAAGGATGTTTAATGAAATCTACTATGTACCAAATTAGCCATCTCTTATATGCTAATTCATTCAGTAGTGACTTTTAAGTGTAAATCTTAAAAGTTGCTACTGGTTCTATACTTTGTTGTGTAGTTGATTATTCTTTGTGACCCCATTTGGGTTTTTCTTGGCAAAGATACTGGAGTGGTTTGTCATTTCCTTCTCCAGCTCATTTTACAGATGAGGAACTAAGGCAGACAGGGTTAAGTGGCTTGCCCAGGGCTCACACAACTAGTCGGTGTCTGAGGCCAGATTTGAACTCAGGAGAATGAGTATTCTTGATTCCAGGCCCAGCATTCCATCCTCTCCACCACTAGCTGTCCATGATTCTGTATTAGAAGAAGTATGAAGTAGCTTACAGTGTGAGGCAGCAAGCATTTACTAAGCATAGTGCCAGGCACTGGAGATAAAAAGAAAAGGCGAACAACAAAAGTACAAACCAACCAAAAAAGAAGCAGTCTCTGATCCCAGTCTAATGAGGGAGACAACATGCAAACAACTAAGTTGTTATTTGGTCAGTTATTCCTGTCTGACTCTCCATGAGGGTTTTCTCTGCAGAGATAGTAGAGTGGTTTGCCATTATCTTCTCCAGCTCATTTTACAGATGAGAAAACTGAAACAAAGAGGATGAGGTGACTTGCCCAGAATCACACAGCTACTAAGTGTCAGAGACCGAATTTGAACTGAAGTCCTCTTGACTACAGGGTTAGCACTCACTGCACCACCGATCTGCCCCCAAAAACAGCTAGGCAAAACATGATATACACATATATACATACACGCACACGTATATACATATACATATACATATATACATACACACACACACACACACACACACACACACACACACACACACACGATAAACTTTGGGCTTTGAGTGCCAAACAGAGAACTTTATCATTGATCCTGGGATCGATGATAGGAAGCCAGTGCAGTTTCTTTTACAGATTGGTCTAATGCCCTATATTCTTGTGTCCTATGCTGTAGGTAGCCAACCTGAATCCCAAGGACCTCTCTTATACCTTAAAGGATTATGTATTTAAAGAGCTCCAAAAAGATTGGCCTGGATACAATGAGATAGACAGACAGTCGCTGGAGTTAGTGCTGTCTAGGTGAGTTGTTTTGTTGCTTTTTAAGGGGAAGAATAAAATTATGATGATAAACATTGGCAGTTAATGTTGTTTTGATTTGGGGAGTGGGGAGGAGAAACAGGGGGTAAACTTTTCTCTCTAAAGTCTTGATTAAATCTTTAGTATAACCTGGAACATGTGTGTCCTTTACAGAAAATTAAATCCATCTCCTCAGAATGCTACCAGCACCAGCGGTTCAGAATCTCCTATATGTTCTAGTAAAGATGCTGCATCTTCTCCTTCTCAGGTACTTCATAAAATCATAGAATCATAAAATGTTAGAGCTGAAAAGGACCTTGGAGATCATCGAGTCTGACCCTGATTTGTAGAAAATGAAGGAACTTGAGGCTCACAGAGAGGAAGTGATTGCTGAAGGCCACACAGCTTGGAGAGGGGCCAGAGCCAGGACTAGAACCCAGGTCCCTTGGCTCCTAGTCCAGTGCTCTTTTCACTCCCAGTGGTGTCCTAACAGGAATGCTTCACTTTGACCCTCTGGTGCAACAAACAAAACAGTTTTGTGGTGGTTGTTCTAAAGCTTAACTATCATAACAGGATTTTCTTCTATTCCATTTGATAACTGACTAGGTGACTCTCAAGTCCCTTCCAGCCCCATGATTCTGTGATTTACTGTAGGAAATTCAGGAAATTTAATATAAACTAGAAACGTGTATAATTTAAATTTTTTGAAACCTTTTTAGCAATTTTCTTAGGAGCCCTAAACAAAGGGTCATAAAGAAAAAGTGGCTAAAAAAAAAAAGATTACATACCACTACTAAAAAAGCTAAGTGATGTAAATCTAGAAGGTGGCTATTCATATTACAGAACAATTATTTGTTTTGTAAAAGCATTCATCTGAATATTCTTTTTAAAAATGAACTTCCCTTACTTGAATATTTAAATGAAGGTGTACTCTCCTTGGGTGTAGGCTGACCTACTGGTGCAAATTGCAACCCCTAAACACCTCAGCCTGATTGATTCTTAGCCATTTCTTTCTAATAAATACTCCCTTAGATAATCCACTTAAACTGCTGGAGGCCTTCCTTAATACATTTAAAGCCTAATTCACTTTTTAGAGCTTTATTTTCACACCTTTTTCAAGAAAGAAAAATATCAAGTTTGTTTTTAATATGCTTGTAGGTTCAAATAAAATATTTTCCAGGGGTGAGGAAAAAATGTTGAACCTGAATTACAAGACAATAAAAAATTTGATGTGTTTTTTTTCTTTTTTGTTTTTGTTTTTTTCTTAAAGCATAAAGTAAGAGGATCACTGTTATTAGAAGTCTGTCACTGAATAGAAGGAAGCAAACAAATATTTGCCATGCCTCTCAACTCCCAGAGGCCAGTCAGGTTGTAACCTTTCTGAACTGGGGTGTTCCAGAGGATCCCCTTTGTTTTGGAATTACACCCCAGTGGATTAGGCCTAATCCTGAGGGAGATCAGAGCAATTCTGGGTTAGATCAGAACCAGTCTGCCTGAGGTTGAACATAATCTATTTCTGCCCCAAGACTTGTGAAGCAGCCTCAAACAAATTTGATCGTTCATTCTTGGCAGTTGACCCAGATCCCTGGTGGTACTGATGACCAGAATAGACCTCCCACTCTCGGCACACATGCCCGGTACTGGGAATAGAAGTGACCTGTGGCAAAAAGTAATGAAGCATGCCTTGGGTTTAATGGCAACTGTTAATTCATCCTCATCATTATCCCTGGTGCATAACTTCTCCAAGCTCCTTGTTAAGAAATTTACCTTCAGCTATTAGGAAATGTTGGAGATATGTTGTGAGGAACATAGGAGAAAAGAAAACTTGGATTTGTGGCTTTGCTGTGACTTTGTCAGAGCTTTACCCACATAGCAAATAACTGTTATGACACTACTTATACTCTGATCTATTTATATACTGAGAAAGATTTGATACTTCATGGTGGCAAATAAATGGTGTTAAATTCTATGAGAGAGTAGGTGAATGAATTGGTTATTCCTTATGTTGTTTGTTTCACACATGAAGCCTACAGTATTATATTACGTTTCATTTTAAACCTGTAACTTGTACTTTGAGCTGCCTTGCTTCACTTTTTACTTAAAGCCCATCTTTTCTACATATAGTAAAGGGGGTTCTTCATCTTTTTTGTGTCATGAGCCCCTTTAGCAGCCTGGTGAATCCTGCGGACCCCTTTTCAAAAAGATGTTTTTAAGTACCTGAAGGAAATGCTAAATTTCTCTTAAAGGTTAATGAAAATAGAGATGTAGTTTTCATCCCATCCAGCTTTATCAACTCTCTGAAATCTACCCATGAACTCCTTTGGGATCCATGGATGCTAGGTTAAGAATCCCTGGTGTAGATGGATCCATCTATATCTTTGTGACAGTAGATATTCTCCTGATTAAGTCAAAATCTTTCCCTATCTTTTTTTCTGATGTCACTTAGATCTCTCCTATAACCTAGAAGCACCTTTGTGGTGCTGTGGATAGAGCACTACATTTAAAGTCAGAAATACCTGAGTTCAAATATGCCCTTAGATACTTACTAGATATGTGGGTATATCTTATCTATAAAACAAGGATAATAATAGCACCTATTTCCATGGGTTGTTGTGAGATCTTTTTATGTCACATAAAAAAATCTAAAAAAAAAATCTAAAAAACATAAGGAAAAGGACCAAATTAAAAAACAGGACATTGAGGAAAAGGAAAAAGACCCCTTAAGACAAAAGATGAAATTGCCAAGCTAAATACATTTATAAAGCACTGTGTAGACCTTGAAGCATATATAAATGCTAGCTATTATTTATGATTATAATTTGGTGACAATATCACTTCCTATTCCGAGATAGATGAAATAATTTATACAAGCCATAATACTCATTTTAAAGTTGGAACATTTTCACACATTAGGAGAGAGACTAAATAAATGTTGGCCTGTTGCCTTTTGCCAGGTCTTGTTTAGTTCTCACAGGGTGAAATGGTATCAATTGCTTCCTCCTCACACTGTCCAAAACTAGGTCAACTGTGGCCAGCAGAGCTTGACTACTTACTTTATTTAGTACTATTAGGAGGCCCTAAGATCTCTGTGACAGAGGCATTTACAGAGAGGTGGTGATCTGATCAGATGGATCTGAATACCATCTAAGAAATATGTCCATGAGCCAGACTGCTAAATGACATTCACATTTATTTTTTATTGTTGCTGACACTTGAGGGAAAGTTAAAGTTGCACCCTTAGCATTAAGATGTGAGCAAGGCTATTCTACTGGATGTACATTAACCTGTCATTTAAATTTTGTGTTCCATCTTTGTGCCAATTAGCCTGTTTTGTTTGCCTTCCTATTATTGTTTTTCAGAAACGCCTCTTGGATTCAGATTTCATAGATCCTTTAATGAATAAAAAAACTCGGATATCTCACCTAACAAATAGAGTTCACCCAACATTAAACGGTCATTTGAATTCCACCCATGAAAAAATTGCTGTGGCTCCACCACCACCACCACCACCTCCTCCTCCTCCTCCACCACCTCCTCCTCCTGCAGCTGCCGCCACCCCTACTCCACCACCTCTTCCTTCAACCCACCTTCCAGTTTCAAATCCTCCTCAGACTGTAAATTCCAACTCCAATTCCCCTAGCACTCCAGAAGGCCGGGGGACTCAAGACCTACCTATTGACAGTTTTAGTCAAAATGGTAGCATCTTTGAGGACCAGCAGGACAAATATACCTCTAGGACTTCTTTGGAAATCCCACCACCTGATTCAATCCTGTTGAAGTGTCCAAAGCCCATGGAAGAGAAACATTCAATGTCGCATAAAAAATCTAAAAAAAAATCTAAAAAACATAAGGAAAAGGACCAAATTAAAAAACAGGACATTGAGGAAAAGGAGAAAGACCTTAAGACAAAAGATGAAATTGCCAAGCTAAATAACCCCAGTCTGGATTCAAATGAAGGTATTTGAAATTTCTAAAAAGATAAATGTTTTAAAGCATTAATGTGGGCATGCTGATGGGACTTTAAGAATTACTGGTTCCCAATGAACTGCTGTCTCTATTGTTGGGGGAAATGGGGTGGGCTTTCTTGGGTTTTTCTCCAAGTGAGCTCCAGTTCCTTAGTTAAGTCCTTATCTTGACCACATTTTTCATTATGGCAAATTGTAACCTTTTTTTGCACTGTCTTTTCTACAGTTTCCTTTGAAAATACTTTTTAAAAAGATCTTTAAATATGATTTAACATGTATAGTATTTGGTAATAAAACAGTAGGGTTAATGCTGTCAAGTCCTCCCAAGAATGTCCTTTAGCCCTCTTGTAGAAAGTAGGTCTTATTGAAGCTTTACAGGAGATTTTAACAGCTATAAATGTCATTTTTAAACTTATTTAATAATAAGAATATTTATTAATTACTCCTCCCCCAGAAAAAAATATAGCTACTATAATTAGCATTAGAGTTGAGAAAATATTTTTTAAAAATCTTTGGAACTTGCAAATTAAATTAAATTTGAGGATTCAGAATGTCACCTCCACTCAAACTCTTGCCAACTTTCCATAAGTTGCTATTTTACTAGTTTGATAAGTCTTATACAGATGTTTTGTATTGCAATAGTCTTGTATATCAGTAAAGTAACATAATTAAGAAAATTCTGGATTTCCATTAACCCCCCCGTTTAGGGATAACAAAAATGCAAGGGATGATATGCATAGGTTTCTTTTATCCAAACCTAGATCAAATGTTCTCTTTTCCTAAGAACCATAGGAAGTCTATATGTTCTGGCAGAAGCTTAATATTATAAGAAAAAAGAAAAAGAAGATAGGCTACAATGCTCAGATTCTTATAATCTAGCCAAGAGCTCAGATTCTTAAAATCTGGCCCGCTTGCATTAGCAATACAAATACTTAGATGCCCAATATGACGGATGCTCTAATAAACCTTGCTTTAGCTGGAAAAAAAAAAAAGAAAGGCTAAAAAGCCCCATTTAGAGAAAACACTAAGCTAAAATGCTGTAATTCCCACAATAGAGCTTTCCTCAGGTGCTTTCTTGAAGTCACTGCATTGAACTTAAAATCTGATAATACAATTCAGTTTTTTACTTTTCAAAAGGAAATACTAGCCTTGTGGAGTTACTTCTCTAAGAGTTGAGGTCAGGCTTACCAAAAAATGGAAGAATCCAAGCCCATCTTTCAATCTTGTAGCTAATTATAAATGCAGGAGATGACTAAGACAGAATTTCCCAGAAAAATACTACTTTTGTCAAGTGTATGAATAAGGTTTTAAGGAGTGCCATGTTTTACTTTCTATATTTGTATATAGAATTGAAATGGTACAGTTCTCTAATCTAACTTTTTTTTTTTTTTTTTGCCATATGGTGCTCTTAGCAGTGAAAAAGTCTGCAGAAGTGGTACAGTAGAATCTGTTTGTAGTGAAATTCATCATTAACATGAACTTGAGTATAATAGAGTACTTTAAAGTACTTATATAGACTCACAGCATGGTGAGTCTGAAGCAGTCTCCCCCAAACCTACAATATTTAACTTAGGCAGATAAAAAGGAGGCATAATAATTCAGTAACCTCAGAAGTGCAAGATTCAGAATTCATAGGTCAAATCTCTAAAATTATGCTGTCTCCTAACCTCTCCCCCTGCCTGCAAGATAGAATTCTTTTTCTAGCTTAATCTTGGTGTTGGGGTCCAGAGCAATTTGATACTTAGGGATACACATTTCAAGACTTCTGAGATGGTCAAGTCAACTCTTTACCAGGTTCAGTGTTTCCTCAGAAGTTCAGTAGGAGGCAGACTCCTTTTCCTTGACAGATTCAGTCTTAGGCTTCTTGCAGTTTTTCACTCAGAGTCTGGAGCCTCCCAGAACTAATCCTGGTTGGAGAAAAACAACAAGAGAATCTAGAGCCACATTGCCTGAATTTGGTTTGAAATCAGTCTCCTTTTAATGACCAGGGAAAGGGACCAGATGATATGTACTCGGGTATCCACCAGGATGTAATCTCCTTTGGCTCACACAGAGAGGCAAGGGATAATAGTCACAGGTTGCTTGTTTTTTATGGGTTTTGGTTTTTGTTGTTGTTTTTTTTTTTTTTTATCCAAACCTTCCTCAACTATGCTTAAGAACCACAAACTTAAAAAGTCTGCATGCTCTAGAAGGAGAGCTCTGCATTGTAAGGCAAGGGGAAGGAAAAAGGAAAAAGGATATTATGTTGCAAAGTGTTCACTGTTATTATGCGAAGAAGATTTAAGGTTTGCCAGCAAGCGAGTGGTAGAGTATTAGTTTATTAGCCTCACTTTACTTTGGATGGCACAAATTTCTTCTAATTAAAAGAACCACTAGACATACTCTCTGAAGATAGTTTACTCAAATGGAATACTGTGGGAATTCTGCACACTTTCATAACAGCCCTCAGAGACTTACACATTATTTTTTCTTTTCTTTTCTTTTCTTTCCTTTTCTTTTTTTAAAGCTATGTTTAGCATTACGAGGTTAGTTCAGTATGCATTAGGGCATAGCACTGCCTTATTTTAAGTGTCTTAAAACTGATGGGAAAACTTCCTACACAATTCAGCAGACTTCATACTCCTCCCCATCTCCCCCCAAAAAGGATGGCAGTAAAAATACAGTGACTAAAGCAGTCTGCTACCTCACATTATTGTCTTGTCTGTCTTGTTCAAATCCCATGAAAATTAGATGTTGATGTAAAACTTGTATCTCCAATTGTTTGACTGCATCTGCCACCACCGTACTTGAATGCTGTGCAGATGCCACAACTTTTCTTGAAATAATAGAAGATTGACCTTGGGTTAAGATTGGTTTCCTTTATTGTGCAGACGCTGCAGTAGCCAATGCACTTTCAACGCCTGGTATTGGCCATGGTAGAGCTAGTCATATGGCCTCTATTGTTCATGTTCAATTGTATTCCTTGCTCACTGTTGCTCATTGAGGTGGCAGAATAGAATTTCTAGGAAGAGTGTTCTGGGTGCTTCTGATCTGGATTAGAATTCGAGGTTTAGTATGACCGTACTAGGTGATGAACATATTAAAATTCTGTTTCTTCCTAGGAGTTGAAGAGGTTTGCCCTGCCTCCACAGATCCTTCATCAGCTATTGAACTACCAGATTACTTAATGTAAGTTGAAATGTCTGCCACCAGAAAATGATAGTGTGGGGCTTAAAAGTCTGCAAATTCTCTCTGCATGACTTCCAGATTAGAAAATTTAAGAAGGCTTAAAAAACAAAATATTTGGACAATGTTTTCCCATTAAAAGACTACCCCTAAAAAAGCTGGTATTTCTAAAATTAGTCCTGCCAACTAACTTTCCTGGTTAGGCATGTAGTACCGCCCCATCCTTCTTCTGTTCAGTACCCTTTAAGTGTACAAGAATCCTGCTCTTTGTTCCCATGGGTAGAGGAAACATTTGAATATGGAAGAATTTAGCTCTCCAATACTTCAAAGCTGACAAGCCTGACTTAGTCAGGGGGCGGTCATTTTCTAGCTTCCCAAAGGGAGGCTTACTTATTAGTAAATGTGGAATCAGTGGGATTTACAGCATGCTTTTTAATTATATAAAGGACAGCAATACATTGTTTTCTTCAAATCCTAGAACAAACACTTAAAGGTCTGTTCTCCCTTTAAGATGAAATTTGAACAATGCCTATATGGTCCTAATTCCTCTCTCTTTGAGTGGGTATATACATGTGTATACATATATATTTATGATATCCCCCACATATTAAAATGTGGAGTTGTGAATTTTATTATAAACAGAAATTATGACTTGGATCCCTCCTGCTTTCTATAGGATCACAGGTTCTGTTGGAATAGAAAATAATCAAGCAGCAGGAGGATGGAGAAATTGAGTCAGGCAAACCCTGTTCCAAATGCATTATGAACAAATGTGCAATATTTATGAAACATGAAAAGCTAAATGGAATTTAGGTTAGTGTTTGAATGGACCTTTGCCACTGTCAAAATCTTGTGTTAGATCAGGTCAGACTTTTGTGCTATCCAGATTTTCTAAAAAACACTCTTTCCAAAATAATTTATAATATATCCTTAGAGTACTTTAAAGTTCCTATTAATGAAGTGATTGTATTATTTTGAGAAACAAACTTAATTATGAATGATAATTCCCTAAAACATAGGATAATAAATTTAGAGCTGAAAGTGACCCCATAGGTCTTCTCCAGAGGTATCAAACTCATGGCCCACAGTGCTGCTGAGTGCAGTCAGGACCAGATTAAAATGCAATTGGGAAATATTTCACTAATAAACAAAAATACAATTAAGCATAAACATGCTAATATGTGGTTTTCTAAGTCAATACGCATCCCACAGGGATCCTCATGTACAGTTTAATGGTCCCCATTTCTATTTGAGTTTGAAGCCCTGATCTAATCCAAAGTCCTTATTTTATGGATAAAGAAACTGAAGAAAGTAAGGTAGCTAATAAGTAGCAAGCTGAGATTTGTACCTAGTTCCTTTGCCTCCTGATCCAGCATGCTTTCCATGCTAATTATTACTTGCATAGTTCAAAAGGCATGCAAGAAGTAGTGCTAAACAATCCCTTTCATTTGAATTGGTGTATGATTTTAGAGCTCTGTAGAGAAGCCTAAAAACAAAAACAGTAGCAGCCAGGACCAAGTCAGCTACTTCGCAGTGTCTGCTGAGCTGGCACTGCAGTGCCTTTGACAGTCAGCAGTGCAGCACCGACAGCTGGGGAGACAGTACCGACTCAGTGGCTAAAGAGGATGCTTTTAAGTAGCTACAGAAATTGCACTGTTCTTTATAAACTGGCCACTCTATTATGATAAGTGACAGGACAGTATCATGTCCTAAATTCTTTTCTTGGAGATGTTGGATTTACCGTGATGGAATGGTAAAATGTACTTTGTCGTACATTGGCTATTAGTGTATGGAACCAACCCCTCCTCCCACTGTCCACATAACTAGTGATGACAGATTCATTGTAAAGGAATATGAAAAGATTCTAATTTTTTTTAATCTTCAGCATCTAATGGAAATTCAGGGCCATTTGTAACTACATTTTTTTTTTTCAAAAGAAACCACAATTTTAAGTAGCTCTTTTATAGTCCCTTATACATGTTTGTGTTGATGTTTGTGATTAGCAAACTGTGCTGTTAACTTTTTACATATACATACAAAAATGAGTGAGGGGTGAACGAGAAACTTTGTTCATATCCTTTGGGTTTATATACTTTTAAGAAGTTTGATACCCTAATCAATTAACCAGCCATTTTCACATTATGAATCAGTAAGCATTAATGAAGTACTTACTATGTCCCAAGCATTATGCTAGGCACTGAGAATAAAAATCCCAAAGTGAGATAGTCCCTGCCCTCAGAGCTGACATTCTCTGGTGGAAGGCTGGCTGGGGGGAGGGAGGTGGGGGAGGGGGGAGGGAGGTGGAATACAGACCCATGTTCACAGATCAATTAGTGGAAGATATTTACAAAATAGATACCAAGTGATGCATTGAGTTAGGAGACACTTAGGAGATACTACAAACAGAGAATCAAGAAAGGCTTTTTTGAAGGAGATGCCCTTGAGCAGAGGCTTGAAGGAGGCTAGAAGGCATGGGGTAATCAGCCTAGAGCTGGCAGGTGAGAAGGGGAGAGTAGTCAGGGCATGGGGAGAGTGAGGGAGGCTATTCATAGGTACAGAAGTGAGAACCATATAAATGTCATAAAAAGAGAACAGGAAAGGCATCCAGCTTGGCTAGAGTATAGAATAAGTGAGGGAGGTAATCAATCATCCTGGAAAGATAGGCTGGAGCCAGTTTAGGAAAAGCTTTACTGAAAAGTAGAAAAGGTTGTTTTTTTATCACAGTGGGCCCAGGAACGCACCTTGAGCAGAATAGTGGCATGGTCCAGCCTGTGCTTTAGGAATATCAACGTAACAGCTTTGTGAAGGATGGAATGACTGGACTGGAGAACCAGAAAGCTGGTTTGTCCAAATTAGAGATGATAGTGACCTAAGTTATCCTAGCTGTTATATGAGAGAGAAGACATTAGATGTGATTCAAGAAATGGAATCAATAATACCTGACAATAATACCTTGGATATGGGGGAAGGGGGGATAAGTAAGAGTGAAGAGTTAGTTGGATGACTAGAAGAGTAGTGGCACTCTAAACAGAATCAAAGAAATTAATTAGGAGAAATAGGTATAAAGAAGGGGAGAATGGCTCCTTTTTAAGAGGTGGTGAGTTTGAGGTGCCTGTGGGATACCTAGGTAGTTGGAGATGCCTGACTAGAGCTCAGGAGAAAAATGAGAGGTGGATATGGAGATTTGAGAGTTGTCAGCATAGGGAAGACTGACTCCATGAGAGCTGATGAAATCACTGAGAAGGTAGTGAAAGAATAGGCTCAGGACAGAGGCTTTCAGGTAAACTGACACACTGGGGATAGAACTCAGAGATAATTGTCGTGCAAAGGATACTCAGAAGGATCCATCCTGCAGGTGTGACTAGAACCAACACAGACCACCGTCCTGAGACAAAAGTAGGTCATGGTGGTCAGCTGTGTCAGTGTAAGTTTTTTTATCTCGTTTCCATGGACAAAGTTAGCGGACAAATAATTCCCCCATAATTCTAAACTTCATCCTAGCTAGAAGTTTTAACCCAACTAAACACTTTTATAAGGATTTTTAATAATTAGCAAAGTGGATGTGGGTTAAACTACCTTTCTTTTCTACTATCCTACCTCCTCAGTCTTAAGGATAGCAAAGTATCTCAAAGAGTGATTGCTTTTATTTTGCATGTTTTATTGCTGCTTATTCTCTGCTCTAGTACCACTTTAAATGTCATTCTTGGAAACAAAAGGGGGGGGGTGAGCTTTTTTTTAATTTTAAGGAAATTTTTTAAAATGTTTAAATAGAAGCTGAAAAATACTGACAAAACCCTAAAGCATATAACCTAACATATTCCAAATGGTTTGGAACCACTAAATAAGATAATTTAACTTTGGCTGGAAAGCATAAATCTGGCAAGGGATAAATATTTTAAATGATGAAATAAAACTAAGCTTGATGTTCTATGTAGCCATTTTGCCTATTCTCTTGATATTCACAGTAAATTCTCTTCTTTTTTTTTCTGTGCTCCCTCTGGTGTGCAGTCAAGGCAATCCACTTGCAATAAAGACTAATTTGCCCCTCCTTGGCAGTTCTGGCCAGCAGGATGGCTTGAAATTGGCATGGGTATGCTATCTCAGTTACACTGAAATTAAACTTGCATACCTACTCAGCATGAATAAATATACTAAGTGGAGCATTAAATCACTGTTTCCTGTAGCATCTGTAGTATATCCATTATGAGGAAATCGATAGGATCATGTAATAAATGGAGTTGGAAAGCAAATTAAAAGTAATCTTATGTTAGAGAGTGTAGTAACCTCATCTTAAAATGTATACTATTGGCTTCCAGGTACCCTCCATACAGTGTGACATATAAGTGTTTTCAAAAAACTAAATTCAGCAATCAATAAAATTTTGTCATTCTGATCCCTCAAAGTCATTATCTCTGACACTGTATCAGGCATGATTATAATCCCTGTGTCTTCTCCCTCTCTGCCTTGGAGCATAGACTTTGTTCTGGGTTTGGTTTGTTTTTTTTGGTTTGGTTTTTTTTTTTGTGAGGCAATTGGGGTTAAGTGACTTGCCCACGGTCACACAGCTAATACGTGTCAAGTGTTTGGTCTGAGGCCGGATTTGAACTCACGTCCTCCTGACTTCAGGGCTGGTGCTCTATCCACTGCCCACCTAGCTGCCCCCAGTTGTTGTGATTTTTAAATGAACTATCAATAACACTTCTTAACACTTCTTTTATATCCTATGGATGTGTCTACAAAAGGTATGACATAATTAAGATGCAAACTTGCACCTTATGAAATACTTGTATTGCCAGTAATTCTTGAAGAGCTAAAGGACAACTTCTTCTGTGAGAATCCTTAAACTTTTTTGTGTCATAAATCCTCTGGCATTCTGGTGAAGCCTATGGACCCCTTCTCAGAATAATGTTTTTAAATACACATAAAATAAAATGCACAGGATTAAAAAGGCAACCAATTGTGCTGAACTGCAGATAATGATTTTTTAATTAGGTTAAGAACCCTTGCTCTGTTATAAAATATAATAACATTATTCTGGTTATATGCTAGCATCCAAATTCCTCATGACTTTATTTTTTAAATAAGTTTTTATTCATATCTTCTGTTTCTTACATCATCATGGTTATCCCAAGTATCCTTCTCCTTCCCCCCTCAGAAAACCATCCCATATAATAAATAGTATTTTTTGAGAGGGGGAAAAAAATCAGCACAACTGGTCAATATATTGAAAAGGTCCAAAAACATACACAATTTGTAACAGCTGGGGACCCACAAAGGGTTTCTTTATCCACAAAATAAGGGCATAGGATTAGATCAGGGCTTCAAACTCAGATAGAAATGGGGACCATTAAACTGTACATGAGGATCCCTGGCAAATGCATGTTGACTTAGAAAACCACATATTAGCATTGTGTATGCTTTATTGTATTTTTATTTGTTGGTGAAATATTTCCCATTTTAATCTGGTCCTGACTTCACTCAGCAGCACTGTGGGCCATGAGTTTGATACCTCTGGAGAAGACCTATGGGGTCACTTTCAGCTCTAAATTTATTATCCTATGTTTTAGGGAATTGTCATTCATAATTAAGTTTGTTTCTCAAAATAATACAATCACTTCATTAATAGAAACTTTAAAGTACTCTAAGGATATATTATAAATTATTTTGGAAAGAGTGTTTTTTGAAAATCTGGATAGCACAAAGTCTGGCCTGATCTAACATAAGATTTTGACAGTGGCAAAGGTCCATTCAAACACTATCCTAAATTCCATTTAGTTTTTCATGGTTCATGAATGTTGTACATTTGTTCATAATGCATTTGGAACAGGGTTTGCCTGACTCAATTTCTCCATCCTCCTGCTGCTTGATTATTTTCTATTCCAACAGAACCTGTGATCCTATAGAAAGCAGGAGGTATCCAAGTCATAATTTCCGCTTATAATATTCACAACTCTGCATTTTAATATGTGGGGGGTGTCATAAAAATATATATATATACACACACACATGTACATACCCACCTGCAGAGAGAGGAGTTAGGACCATGTAGGCATTATTCGTATAATTTTGTTAGATTTACTTTTTATTTTTTGGTGTACAGTTGCTTTTTCTGTTTACATTGTTATAGTTATTGTGTATATTGTTTGCTTGGCTCTGCTTACTTCCCTCTGAATCATTTCATATAGATCTTTCCCTGCTTCTCTGTATTCATCTCACACATCATTTCTTAGAGCACAGTAATATCCTATTACATTCATGTATCACAATTTGTTTAGCCATTCTCCAGTCAATGGGCATCTGCTTTGTTTCTAATTCTTAACTATCATAAAAGGTGCTGCTATAAATATCTTGGTGTTTATGGGGACATTCTTCTTATCGATGGCTTCATAGGGGCATAAGCCCAATAATAGAGTCTCTGGTTCAAAGAGTGTGGACATTTTAAGTCACTTTATAATTCCGAATTGCTTTCCAAAATGGTTTTACCATTTCAAAGCTCCACCTACAAGGAGTTAGTGTGCCTATCATTCCGTGGCCCCTCCAACATTAACTGTTGCCTTTTTTGGTCAGGGTGTGAGGTAAAACCTTAGGGTTGTTTTGATTTGCATTTCTCTTATTATTAGTGATTTGGAGCATTCTTTCCTGTAGTTATGAATACTTTGCAATTCTTCTTGATTCCTTATGTCTCAATGTGTCAGATAGTTTTATCTGATTAATGTAGTGGTAGCCTGCTTTTGGAAAGTAGTTTTAAGAGAATAAATCTTCCATAAATTATTCTTTTTTTGCCTGAAGACATTTTAATTCTGTCACCAAGTTGTTGTTGTTGATATTGTTTTAAGTTTTCTCGAATATCATTTAAATCCTTAAGCTTTTGATAGCTTGTTTATGATAACTCAGCAAAGGTAATATTTGTAATTTTTTTCTTGCAATTCAATTGGTAATAGAAGCATGAAAATGGAAGTTATCAAAGATGTTTTTTCAAATGTTTAAATAAAATCTTCAGTCAGAATGATGATGCTTATATTTTTATATGTTCTGCCTTATAATATTAGCCTTCAAATTTTTTTGTTAGAAAATATATTGCTATTGTCTCACATGAACAACGCCAGAATTATAAAGATGACTTCAATGCAGAGTATGATGAATACAGAACTTTGCATGCCAGGATGGAGACTGTTGCTAGAAGGTTTATTAAACTCGATGCACAACGTAAGCGCCTTTCTCCAGGCTCCAAGGAGTATCAGGTAATAAATGGGTGGACTGGACCTCATGAGCATGACTAAACTTTTCTGTCCCTGTCCCCCATCTCTAACTAAACAGTGCAAGCCCACTATCAGAGAACCTTGGCCCTTTTGCAGTGCGCAGAGAATGGCCAGTCATTCTGTTCCCAAGTACAGCTATGTGGTGTTTGACTTAATCTAAAATTAGAGAGGCAACACGTAATTCAAAGAGCTCTTTAATGAAAAAATTATTACTGATAGAGATGTTGAATTTTGTCCCATGAGTGGAAGCAATGTGTCCTTTTTGGAGGTATATTAACTCTTTGAATCCATAATGTTTAGGACCATGAGAGAAGTACCACCTTGGCGTGGGTAAAAATGAGGACTTATCTCTTAGAGCATGCATAGTATGTATGCTCTATGCCCAGAGCCTGTGGTGCTTGAAGAAAACATTACCTATTAGGAATTCCTTTTTTTTGCATTTATCACCCAAAAGAAATTTTTAAATCGTCAAAACACTTATGAACACATATAACAATATTAAGTTTGCCACTATGTCTGATTTAACCTTTCCCACATTCTAATTTAATTGCTCAAATATTCATTTGGGTTCTAACTCTTAACTTCCTCTCTTACTGTATGCTGAGGGGAATATCTGAGTAATGCCACATCAGAAATTTGCTCATGTGGAGAAAGCATATGTGTCAAATTGGTGTTTATGATACACTCATGACTACTAACTAGTGTTTTTCAGATAAGAGCTTATTACATAATTTTATTAAATGTTGCTCCTCATTTTCTCACTTTACTTACCAGCCAATTCTAGTAAAGTGGGAAATGGCTTTCTAATTGACCTTCTTGCCTCAAGTCTCTCCTCTATCCTTTATGTGAATCTTAATGCACTGATCAGTGTTGTTAGTGTACTTAAAAAAAACTATACTAGCAGCTAGGTGGCACAATGGATAGAGCATGGGCCCTGGAGTCAGGAGGACCTGAGTTCAGATCCCATCTCAGACCAGACACTTGATATTTACTAGCTGTGTGACCCTGGACAAGTCACTTAACCCCAATTGCCTTGAAAAAACAAAAAAAAAACCTGTAACTAACAATTGCAGTATAAATGTCTTATCTTGGCATTCAAGGTCCTCCACAATCTGTCACTACTCTACTTCTCTTACTCATACTATTTATCTCATATTATTCCATTTCACTCAACATGCTAGCCAAGTTGGACTGCCTCATTTTCATCCTGATCTCTCCTGTCTTCTTGCCTTTGTGTATGCCATCACCCCATAGATGACATGCGTTCACCATTCCCATTTTGCTCTTTGTGAAAATTCCCTTACTTCATAATCCAAGTCAATCATCAATTATTAAGCATTTCCTAATCTCCCTTTAACAGAAAGTCCTTGATTTCTCATAGCACTGTGTCTGAATCTCTTCCTTTGCACTTACTCAATTCTTCCTTGTACAATATTTTGCATGTCTCATTCTCCTCCCCATTATATGGTAAGCTCCTTGTTGGCATTACTGTGCCTTTGCATCCTCAGTACCTGGTATGTTAGCTTGCACCTTGTAGGCATTTAATAAACATTTGTTTACTAACTACTGAGACTCATATATGTTAGCACTTAATCTATATATTATATCCTTTTATAATCCTTATTATGTCCTTAAAAATATGTGGAATGACTTTACCCTCATTTCAACCCCATTGAAATAAGAATTTACTAAACACTCATGACAATATATAATTAAAACTGTAGAGATATATAAGCAAATAGCATAAGTGTGTTATCCCACCTTCAGATTTAACCTTCCCAGCCTTGTTCAAGCTACCCAAGTCCCTGAGCTCTAACTTTTATTTCAAGTGATAACTGTTATCACACTTAGGAAACCTAGAACATAAGTACTTGAAGTGTTTCCCAACCCTTTGGCTAAGGGAATTATTCCTAGTTCGTAAAAGAAGGATCGAATTAGCTCACATCCTCCCTTCCTAAGAAAGGCAGATTGCATTTGCTCTGTTGTGTGGCCATAAAATGCATATAAAATCCTGACAAAATGGAACAGATGAGAATAAGTAGGAATCAGTATAAATCTATCCTCCCCATACCCTTATGGAAGAACAACCTGAAAGCTCATGCCCTAGAGATTCATTACATGATAGATTTAACAGGGTTTAATCTTTTTGTATACACTTTATGTAGTTGCACCATTTTTACAGGATTACTCAGTGAGTTAGGGTATAAGTAATGGATTTTTTATTTCCTTCTGCGTTAGTAAGTAGCAAACTTCATAATGAAATTCACCTCCTATCAATGAGATTAATTTTTAATATTTCCTGAAGAATTCTGCCTTCTGTTCTCATTTCAAACCTTTTGTTTTGTAGACTGTTCATGAAGAAGTCTTAGAAGAATATAAGAAGATCAATCAGGTAAGAACAGTCAGTATTTTGTTTTCTGTAGTAAGAAAGTACTGTCTATGTTTCTAAAACCTCCCTTTTTTTTCATTCTACAGTCTAGTCCCAATTACCATGAAGAAAAATACAGATGTGAATATCTTCATAACAAGTTGGCTCACATCAAAAGACTCATAGGTGAATTCGACCAACAGCAAGCAGGGTCCTGGCACTAGACCCCTGCTTAGACCAGAAGATGTGAATAAACTTAAGCTTATTTATTTAAAATTCCAAATGAGTTGCTCTAAGATTCTAAAAAATTGAAACTTTGTCAGTTGAAAGTTTCAGTATTAGCAAACTTTGAGTTACTTTTTTTTTATTATTATTTTTTATTTTATTTTGCTTCCCTGCATATTTGAAGCTGCTTTTTCTGGTCCCTTTCTCCCCCCTCAAGACTTTAGTTTGTCCATGGAGATCACTTTTAGATATTGGGGGTCCAGTGTCTGTACTTAAAGGTTGTGCACATTTTCAAAGAAATAACAATGTAGCAAGTTGAGATGCTTTTGGATAAATATAGGCCTTTTTTTTTTTACCTTTATTAATTTGAACTCTTTGCCTTAATTGGTAGAAGGTTTAGAAATTTGCACAAAATACAAAAAAAAAAGTTAAAACATTGTTTTGGAGGGTTAAGAAATAGAAAGGTGTGTGTATATGTACGTATAAATTATATGCAGCCTGACTTGATCTCGAACAGTAATTTATCCCTACAGGTTAAAACCCCCCCCATTGCAATGGTTGCCTTAAGGTGTTTGCTTGTTGTATACATAGTGTAGCTAATCCTTAGCTACACTGCTTCCCATTTTATTAAAGCGATGGAGAAGCACATCGTGGCCTACCAGCGTCTGTAAGAGTGTGCTTGTACTTACTGTATGTGTGCAGAGGTTGTGTGGATGTGAGCATGCATGAAGAAAAAAAGCTGCTACTCTTAGTAGGCCAAAACGCTCAGGTTAAAACAACTGACGAGTGTTACTGTAGGTTTTTTCCTATAAAATTGCTACTTCTATTGTGGAAGACAAAAGCATTTCCATTTCAACAGTTTGTCAGCTTTATTAATGTTGGGGAAAATCGATGTTATGAAAATGAAACTGATCTATAGTTTTGGGGCAAAATTATAAAAATTAAACATGTAGGTGACCTATTTATATACTACTATAAAGTATTTTTTTGAAGAGAGATATGCAAAGAAGCTATTGCCTACATGAAATGTATATTTAAAGATTTTTTTTTTCTCCTGGGTGACAGGAATATAACAAAGAACAGATATATTTAACTATAAAATACTGTGATTCATCAAACAGCACAAACTTTCATTTCATGCAGTTTATCTGTTTACTTTGATTTAAACTATCGCTTGTTTTATCATGTGGGAACATAAGTTATTTGGTCAAGCATGTAAGGATTTTGAACTAACATTGGCTTAAATTGTGTTGTCTGTACCGTATTGTCTTTTCAAAGTGCTGCCAATTGAAAAGGGAAGCATTATGTTTACAAATCTGATTTTTGGAATGTTTGCCAAATTTTTGGTAGTGTCTTTAATAAATGTCTCCAGCATCCAAAAAAACATAACCTAACCAAATTTGTTGTGTATCGCTGTAAACCAGAATATGTTTGGTGTCTAGGATACTTGAGGTACTATGTCATCATCCAGTAGTCAGGGATGGGAGGGAGAACTTTCTCTCCAGTGTCCTTCCAGGACATTCACCAATCTTTTTCACATTACTCTAAACAACAGGTCTATTACTATGTAGAGCAGAATTCACGGTATTTTACTACTCATCATTGAGACTCTTGGTGCTCTTTCTCTTACCTCATAATTGATACAATCACTATTAGATCTTAATAGGTTTCCAAATTTTAAAACAATATATACACCAACCAAGGGGAATTTATTCAGGGATAAGGTGGAATTTGATCTTTATACATATTATGATTTCATCAATCTCTCTCAAGCGTTTTATCTATAAATAATGTGGTTAATCCCAGGAGGAATTCATTGGTTTAACTACTTGGATGATGATGAATTGGTTGGTTAACAAAAAATTATTGGCTTTAAGACAAGAAATATATGCTTTTAAAGGCTTGGGTACAACTCCAAATCTTCAAGTCTATAAGTCATAGTATTTTAGAGCTGGAAGGGACCCTACGGATCATCTTTCAGTTAAAAAGTAAGTTTAAATAACAGAAAAAGAGAGAAAAGGCTACCTATATGTGTCTGCCCATCATCCTGTACAAGTCACTTCTCTTCTAGTTGTGATGTAAGACCATCTGTAATTGTTTCCATGCCAATTCCTGTTGAAATATATGTTTACAAATAAGACTCTCCTTGTAGCCAAAATTTTATCCTGCTTAAAACTAACTACCACAAACATGTGAGCACATCTTCTGGTTTACAGATTGGGTAATTACTTCAGCTGGAGATCACATTTATAGTCCAGCATTGCACATCCTTAGGCTTCACCACCTACTGTAAAAGCCTTAATGTAGATGGCATCCTTTGCATTGGGCATATCCTTGCAAAATGTATGTCCATCTATTGATTGCAAAATGTAGTTCTTTAAATCTACATATCTGCTCTTACTCTAGTCTACATCTCTGTTGAATAAGTGTATAAACTTATCAAAGTGCTATTTTTTAACAATATTAATCTCTCACTGCAAGATTTATAGATTCTCTCAGATGAAAGCCAAATGAAACTTTTCAGGCGATGGTGATGGTGCAGGTTCAGTTCCATTACTCTCTGTATACAGTTTGATTCATTTGAGAGAAACAGTACTAGTAAAATAGCATCACTCAAGGTTGTCGTATGTCTTTCGCTGCAGTTAGTCTAAACCAGTTGCAAGCGCTCGTTAAGAGTTTTTCTTCTTTAGTAAAGTCTTATGAAATGGAATGAACAGTTGATTTAAATCAAACCAAAATGATGCTAAATAGTTTTATAAAAGCCAAAATAAACCACAGATTTTTTTTTCCTCATTTTGTTAGTTTTCTGTTTCTCAAGTGATAAATTAGGAAGAGGGATCAACCTTTTGAGTAGACATAGTCAATCTTGATTCTTGCAGAGTAGCTGGTTGAAACAAGTTTAGATCATTGCTGGCTACTTTTATTTTTTAAAAAATTCAGTGTTAATTTCTGTATGTCTCTAAATCATCTTATAATCTTTATAAGAATTTCCTTTTCCCTTATATTTAACTGTATTATGTGAAGCAAAGGCAGATTCACAAGTTAAAAGCAAGGTTCTGAAATGAGATTTAAACAATTGATCCATCACTTGATATACTGTAACTTGATAGTTCTACTCATTCCATCTTTATTTTTAAAACTTTACTGAGACATTTTAGCCAGTTCATTGCCTTTCTGGCAGTGTTGAACTCACCACATATGTTTGGCATATGCCTTCACTACTTTTGAAGATGTTACAGCTAGCTATCTGCCTAAGTGTTACTAAATCCTTTCCTTCCACATACCTAATTGGGAAGAGTTAATATAGCCAGCACTGTGAAAGGAACATTTTTGGGGAAGAATATTAAACCAACACTACTAAAGGAAAACAACAGAGAATGTTTGCAAAGCGTTTTGTAACATGAAGACTAAATAAACAAGGCTGTGAGGCTCCATTCTGAATTTTTTGAAGTGTTTAAAAAAATACATACCTACATTATTTCTCGGTTCCACACAACTCATATTAGGATTCTCAAAGGTAAAATGCCACAGGGGCATTTTGTTAACCTAATGAACACTTGAGCCATTGTTGCCCCCACTGTTCTACACCAATTTTAGTTCAATAAAACAGATGTTAACTTTTCAATCCTGTAGTTTTTCTTGTTTCATTTCAAAATATTTAACTTTTTAAAAAAAAAATCTTTGCATATCTGTTATAAAGGCACATACATTCCTGGTAAGATATTTGGGTAATGTAGACTAGAATTGTTGACTGTAAACCCCTGTTTCATCCATACAAGTGTGACATTCATTGAGGAGGGGATATTCCTGCAGCTAAGGTAAATCTGTGAATTATTGAGCATGCAAAATTAGGTTCAGAAAATGGCACTCTCAGTTCTGAGGAGATTAAGGTGGCATGGTGGGTAGGATGGCGGACATGGAGTCAAGAAGGCAGGAGTTCAAAATCCTGTCTTAGACATTCACTAGCTTAGGGATGGGGAACCTGTGGCCTCGAGGCCACATGTGGCCCTCTGCATCCTTGGATTCAGTCAAAGAGCACACTTTGAGGACTGAGAGGGCTACTTTGCCTTGCCTTGAGGCCACAGGTTTCCCACCCCTGCACTAGCTGTATAATTCTGGGCACAATTTCCTCAGCTGTCAAATAAGGGAGATTTGGACTCAGTAATCTCCAAGGGTTTTCCAGCTTTAACTCTCTGATTGTGTGATCTTAAGTTTTTTAGGACATTTCTGAATCATTGGATCCAATGTAGTGGGCAAGATGAGCCATAAAATGCTCAAGTAAAATATGAGTTATCGAGAAGAGTTAGAATACTAAGAGCATGAGAAATAGGCAGTGGGGGATAATCTTAATTGATTTTTCAGAGCAGTACAGAAAATAAAGTTGAAAATAAGCAAAAAGACTTGCTTCTTAAGAATACATTTATAAGTTCTTAAGCAAGAATATTTAACCTTTTTTGTGTCATGGAACTCTTTGGCAGTCTGGAAAAACCCACAGATGGGTGCCTTCTCAGAATAATGTTTTAAAATGCATAAATTAAAATACACAGGGTTACAAAAGAAACCAATCATGTTGAAGTACAGTTATCAAAATATCTTTTTTTTAAAAGTTCATAGACCCAAGGTTAGGAACTTTGGCTCTAAAAATGTGTTTCTGTTCCTTAGGGTGTCCACTATTTTCATGAATAAGAGTTAATACTGGAATAGCAGTACATTTGGGAAAGCAAAGTGTGAAATCCAGTAGGCATTAGTGCCATAGTAATTTTCCTAAATTCATAGTGGATAAATCCACTATGGATGATTTCTGGAAAGACATGGATGAAATTTTCAACATTCAAATATTTACTAAGTGCCTCCTATATACCAGGCACTGTGTTAGGTGCTAGGAATATAAATACAAAAAAAATGAACTAATCTCTACTCTCAAGGAGCTTACATATCAGGAGACTAACTATAAAGACAGCAACAACAAAAGCAGGTAAGTACAAAGTAGTTTGGGGAGGAGGGCACTGGCAGCTGAGGAATCAGGAAAGGCTTTGCATAAAAAGTTGTGCTTGATCTGTGTCTAGAAGGAAGAGGGGGATTCTATGAGGCAGAAATGAGAAGAGGTGAATTGCAGATATGGGGAATGACTAGTGCTCAAAGGCAAGGAGACAGGAGATGGGAGTGTCATATGAAAGGGACTGGGAGAAGGCCAGTTTGGCTAGATGGCGGGTGTAGGAGGCGGAGTAATGTGCAATATGGCTGAATAGATAGATTGGAGCCTATCTGATTGTGAAGGGCTTTAAAAAGTAAACAATGGGAGTTCTTTGGGTTTTTTTTACCCCTAAAGTCAGTAATCGAGAGCCACTGAAGTTTGAGTTGAAGTCCTGAACCAAGCTGGTAGCTGTATAAATACAGAAAAGGGTCAGGTCAAAGATGTGGAAGTGAAAATAGCAAGATTTGGAAACTGATTGGATATATGGGATGAAAGAGTGAACAGTTAAGGTTAATGTTGAGGTGACTAACCTAGGGAACTGAAAGAGTGCTGATGCCTTTGGCAGAAATAAAATTTGGAAGAAAGATGGGTTTCACGCAGGGGCAATGAATTTTGTTTTGAATATGTTGAGTTTGAAAGTCAGGAAGACCTGAGTTCAAATCCAACCTTAGACACTAGCTCTGTGACCCGGAATAAGACCATTTAACCTGCTCTGCCTAGGTTTCCTTAACTGTAAAATGGGGATAATAATAGTACCTACCTCCCAGGGCTGTTGTGAAGATCAAATGAGATAATGTTTTGTAAAGTACTTAGCATAATGCTTTATATACTTAATAGAGGCGTGTTTCTTCCCTCTCCCCCTTCCTCTCTGTAGGAACTAATGAGGACTCTTAAGAAAGAAAAGAAAGAAAGAAAGAAAGAGACGAGGATCCAGGACAGGTGCCTGGAGAGAATACTCACAGTTAGGGGGCATGATCAGGATGATGAGCCAGCAAAAGAAGATGTAGAAGGGGGGAGGTTAGACAAGTAGAAAGAACTTGGAGAGGGTAGTGTGACAAAAAACTTTAAGAGTATCCAGGATAAGAGGATGATCAGTGGTGACAAATCCAGGAGATGGTCAATAAGCTATATTAAGTACCTATTATGTACCAAGTGTTGTGGTTGAGGATGAAGGGCTGAGATCATTAGATTTGATCATTAGGTCATTGAGAGACAGCTGGGTGACTCAGTAGATAGAGCACTGGCCCTAGAGTCAGGAGGACGTGAGTTCAGATCTGGCCTCCAATCCTTAATAGCTATGTGACCCTGAGCAAGTCACTTAACCCTAATTGCCTCCCTCCTCCCCCACAAAAAAATCACTGCTAACTTTGGAGAGAGCACTTGCAGTTAACCGATGAGATTAAAAGCCAGACTGTCAAGAGTTAAGAAATGAAAACAGAAAGAGAGGACATGGGCCAGCTAGAGGACCACTTTCCAGGAGTTTGGCTAAGGAGAGGAGAGACAGTTTGAGGGATTAGTAGGGCCTAGTGAAGGTTATTTAATGAGAGAAGAGATTTTGTGTGTTTGCTGGCAGAGAAGGCAGGAGTGGATAAGGAGAAGTTGAAGATTAGCCAGGGAGTGATTGACAGATGAAAATCTAATCACGTCACATCACAAGATGTAATCAAGGGCAGATTGTAGAGGCCTTGGCAGAGAGAAGGGCCACCTCATTAAAAGACTGGAAGTAGGAGAGGGTGGAGAATAATGTCAAGGAATTTTGAGATGAAAAAAAGGGGAGAAGAGGACCATCACATTGGATAATCTCAATTTCTCATTAAAGTAAGAAGCAAGATCATCAGCTGAGGGGTAGGGAGGGACAGGAAGCATGAGGAAAGAAGAGGTTTAGAATGGCTTCTCTGGGGAGTAAGATAAGGAGTCAATTAGAGGGTACTGTAAAAGGATTGCCTTGTTGCAGTGAGGGTCCAGTTGAAACTGGATAGTACGAATTTATAATGTGCCCAGTCAGCATGGTCAATGGGAAGAAGACTAGTTAAACAAGTCAACTGAATTGGTAAAGTACTTCTGCACTGTATTTATGCAATGTTTCTGAAACACTGCATCATACGGTTGAAATAAAGAATTTCAACCACAGAACTTGGGTATCAGATGTGTACATCCGGTGAAGCAATGTCCTGGGAGGAGGAAGCAGTGGGTGGGGCTTCATCCCTGGAATGCTTTAGAGCTTGGACCAGTCTATTTAACTTATCCCTTTCCTAAAAATAAAAATAATGCCTACCTCACTGGACAATTGGATTAATTAATGTTTAGAAAGCACTTGTCATTCAGTGGATGAAAGGTATTTTAAGTCCAAACCATGTGCTTAGAGGGTGGAAGATAGAGTCTTAAGGATCTGTTGGCTATTGGTTTCAAGGTGAGGATTCCTATGATGAATCAGTTTTAAATGAAATACGAAGGAGACAAAGGTGGAGAGAGGCTTGATGTTTTGGGGTGGAGTGTTGGGGGTATGTTTTATTAAAGGTTGGGGCCTATACTTACCTGTTACACAGGTTTAAGCTAGCCAGGAAAGTAGGGAGGGAAGCAATGGTAGTCAGTAGCCCTGACCCAAGGTTATTACTAAATGTATGGTTGGGGTCAAATACTTCTGTCATAGACGATTTAATGAATGGGGAATGAGGACTGAGACCACGAGCGTGAGGTATTTGCATTTCTTGCTTAGATGATTCAGCTGAGCTGCCCATGCCTTGTGTATTTGCTGTAGTTGAATCCTTGGTACAATGTAACCATTTGTAGAAAGACAGTGACCTATAGAGATATTGGTCTCTGAAATACAGGAGAGATTTCTTTATCTGAGTTTACTAGCAGAACCTAGGACTTAGGCAGAACCTAGGACTTGGGACCTTGGATTTTGTTCTTCATCAATAGGAAACCAGAAAGTTAGCAAGCCTTTAGCTTACAAAACCTGGTTCACATTCTTGTCTGAGAGAGAGAGAGAAAAAATAATGCAGAACCCTAAGAGATGCTGTGAATTCTGCAGACAAACCTAGAGAAGTCTTGGGTGAGGTATACAGACCCCACTCCTAAGTAAAAATTCAAAGGACTAAAAATAAATAGAATATTCAGTATGCAAAATAGCAGCAAGTATTTTTTACGGAGTTTTACAGTCTTAGGATACCAAAGTACCTCTCAGTTTTTTGGATTTAGCCTCATGAAAACCAAGGGTTATTTCATTCCTTGGGCTTGTTCCCCCCACCCAGCACAAAACTTGGCACATAGTGTATGCTTAATAAATATTTGTCGATTGATCCTATGCCTATTTTAAAATGCATTATTTATTTATTACATTCTTTTTTATTATTATTTTGAGTTCCAAATTCCCTTCCTCCAACTTGTCCCCCACCTATTGAGAAGACGGGCAATGATCCTGTACCTATTATGTTGAAGAAACACCCTCCCTAAAAACATCCCTCTCTTTACATGTTCCGAGACCTGGACTTTTGATGTAGGTAGCGCCTTTCCCTGGCATCCTACTTTAACTTGCATTGTCAGTAGTTTTATGGATGGAAATTACATTAAAGATGCATTACCATCTACTTTGCCTCTGCACTCAAAGCACCATGGGCCCTTTCCATCGGACTTGCAGCTGAAACCTC